AGGAATGTAGAAGCATAAATGTTGTGCCTGCAAAGCTCATCATCAGAGCTTTTTCTTTTTTTTGATTCAAGAAATGAATTCTCTAAGAAAAACAGCTGAACCAAATCCAAGTAATTTAGTCTAATACAAGTGAATTACATAATCAGTTCTATAATTGATTAACAGATCTAAAACTTACCATTTTTTTCCTTTTGTCTTGTTCTGTTGGAGGTTCCTCATCTTCTGTAACTTTGGGCTCCTCAAAATGAGACATCAACATGCAGCTAAGAATGGGAATAAAAATAGTTTGAGTACACATTGCAACTAAAATTTATTTTAAAGCAGTTTTAAAAACACAGGACAGGCAGGAGGAAGTTTGAAAGTCAATACCTATTAACAAGGCAATACATGCTTGTGGAGGTAACAAGTATTAATGCTTAGTCAGATGGCTGCTGCCAAATTTCACTTGACTTTCCTTCAGTGGAAACACGCTTCTCTCCTCTGCCAAGATGGTAACTTCTGAAGAATTTGTCTCAAGTTGTAACTGATGTTTGTTGAAACAGCTGGAAAGTTAGCCACCAATTTAAAACCTATTCAAGTTTGGGAGAGACAACCAAACTTGGCCACTTTCTAGTGTATAGATGGCACCATGTATGTACTTATTTTTATATCAGTATGCATCTAACAGTAGGTTATTATTATGACTATTTCTCTTAAAAAACAAAAAAGCTTGCATTTATAAGTTTCCATTTAGAAGTTTCCATGGCATCAAATTTACTGCTGATGGACATCTCTTCTGTTAGACTGTTTTTCTTTTTTGTTGTTTTTTTGTTTTATAATTTCCAGTAGTGTTAGGTAACTAGTCTTCTATGTCTTCTATGCTAACATTTAATACATATGCTTCAAAATTGATTTATAGATAGTAAACTTGGTCTTAATCTAAGTGAACAGGTACTTTCATTTTGCAGTGAATTTCATCAAGACTAGCCATTTTTGTCTTGGCAGATCAATTCAGAAATTATATTCAAAAAGAACAAGCCTCAGGAAAAGAAAGTCTATTTTGCCTCGAGTTCTTGCTTAAAAATGTGTTTCTGCATACAGAAAACAGATCAAGTGGGTTTAAAACATGTAACGTATCAAATCTACTGTCCCTATCTAGAATTTCCCAATTTTTCCAGTTGAGTGCTATACAAACACTCTGCGTTCTGCCAGTATGAAAATAAAAGTGGCACATACAAAAAACTGTAGCATTAACAAAATCAGCAGACATTTCTCATTACATTCATGCTTTTCTGTGAAAAAACACAACACAAAAATTAGATTTTCCACTTACTCTTTGTATGTTCCTGTTTCAGGATCTTCAGTCATAACGTCATACAGCCCTTCCAATGTAACGTGGATGATACCACAAAATTTATCTTGGATAACACTGGAAAAGAACAAAATTTATCTTTCAAAACACTGAAAAAGAACAAAATTTATCTTGGATAACACTGGAAAAGAACAGGAAAGTGACTTAGCTAAAGGAATTAAACAGGAAATTTGCTCAATAACTGTAAAGCACAGTTAGTGAGCAGTGATTTCATTACTTACTGCTTAGCTGAGCATGCTATTAAGCAGCTAATTCGATTTTTATTTTGATTACATAAATGACCTAAAGTCACCAAAAGATGCAAGTAACATTGACTTTAAAAAAAATAGAATTAAGTGTTGCATGCTGTTGTTGAAAACTAAAATTAAAAGTAATTGCAAATAATTGCATAGAACTCCAGAAATGAGCAGGCAGTCATATTAGTGGTTTATCTTCCTAACACATTTGCACATTTTCTCCCATCATGAGTTGCATGAAAAACATACACTGCAAACTCTTGAGCAAAGAGCAGCGTGTAAAGCCAGTACGCTCCCCTGTTGTCTTCTTTCTTCAGCTTTATGAATATTTCTTTCAACTTCCACTGTTTCCACCCACAGCAGCCAATTTTCTTAACTAGAAAGGTGGGGACACGATTCATCTCTGCTTAAACACAGGCATCTCTTGTCACTCGAAATACCACGTTATTTAAGACAACTGAAAAGGGCTGTCAGATACTGTCAGGGACTTAAAAAAAAAAAAAAAAAAAAAGAGGACCTTCCTTTCTGCAGCTAAAGGCCAAGCTGGATACCCCATATACCCAAAAAGACACTACTTTTAGACACTTATTTCTGTCTTGAGAAAGAGTGCCTGTAGCATAAGAAAAGCACAGAACCACAATCTCCCAGACTCACTGGGAAAGTAGTTGCCACCAACTTCCAGTTAAACAGAAAGCAGCTGTGATTGCTGAAGTTTCTGCTGATTTCCCTGCTATTCTGGGCTTGACTATCAGTGCCTGAACTCCTTCTCTGTGAATTACAAAAGGGTTAAGGCACATTGCAAGTGAAGAAATGTTCTTCTCTGAAAGACTGCAAAGTTTCCATCTATAAGCAGCAAAGAAGCAGTCTAACTGGTGATGGTAAACATCAGCTTTCCTGGTTCACTGCTCTTGGCTGAAGCATTATATTAGCCCCATTTTGGAATTTCAGACTTAGTTTTCCCCAAAAGATGCAGCTGGTGCCTATTATACAGAAGCAAACAGGTTTCATATATGTTTAATGATACTGAACACTAAGTGTGTTCATGGTAGTTTCATCCTTTATATTCTAAATGTGTTACTTAAAACTGTTTAGTCAACTCTTTTAATATTCTTTCATTCCATTTTCATATTTACAATATGATCAAAACTGAAAGACTGGATAAAAATACAGCTACTTTTACATTAGTTCTATTTGATAAATTCATTTTCAGACATACAAAGTTATAAATATAAAACAGACTACAGAGCAATAGATTGGAAAAAAACAGGTACAAAGTTAGAATATTAAGCATACAAAACCTGTCTTTTCTATTTGCTTTGATAAGATTATGATTCAGCTCAGGACCATTTTGATTTCACAGGATTATTTCTTTTTGCCTGGCTACAGTCAAATACTAGGAATTGAACTGAATTTTGCATGAAGAAACCTAGAACTCCAGCATTCTCAGGGATGAAAACTGACTCAATTTTCCTTCAGACTGGTTTCTTATAACTCGTTTAGATTTTGAAAGATACTTTCTCCCTTACAAACAGATTCACTACCTCATTCAAAGAAGAAAGCAAACAGCCTGCAGACCTCTGAGAAAACAAGCATGAGCTATTTAGCAGCCTGCAGAATAAGGCCTCAGAGATAAGGGATTTCTTCATTTGAGTTAAAGATTCCAACAAAGTACACCTCCCATTAAAGCTCTTTTGCCTCATACTTTGTAGAAAACACTTATCTAGGAAAATCCCCATTAGCTTGGTATTTTCCACTGTGAGAAAGGAAACAGCTGTCCTCACATTTATTTCAACAGGAACCTGGGGAATTCAACCAAGAACACTTTGCACTGTGGAGGAGCAAGCTATGCTCTGTAAGCATACACTATTTTAATTAACAGTACAGGTTGCTATCAGCTACACAGTAGCTGTATTTGCTCCTTTCAAGCTTCATGAAGAATCCCTAATTGCCAGAGAAATTTTATAATTTTGTAATTTTAACTGGGGATGAGGGAAGGGAGAAAGGTGTTTGACCCTACAAAGGCACAGCCTCTTCATCTGCTGCAAGGGCTAATTATGGTCAATCTACTTGGGTGGTGGGGGTTTACATTAACCAAGACGTAAAGCTTACTGCAAACATAGTATTCATTAACTGTTCACTAGTTACAAGCCCCCAGGCTTGCAGATTGATATGAGAAGCATACAGAATAGCCACTTCGAGTTACTTCTATTTCCAACAATCTGTGACATTTCTGGAAGAAACTTGAGGACAGTGGTTGAAGACCCAAAATATGGTTCTTGATAGCTAGCTACAAAACACAGAGGTATCAATGTTTCCTTTACTTGGAAAAGGTATATTTAATTTATGGAATAAATTAGGAATGTTATTTTACTTCTTTCTGCAGTGAATACAAGAAATTTAACTATAAGTTTTCTTTTTCTGAGGACAGCAATACTACAGAATACAGAAGATCTTTCAAAATAGCATGACTGGTACCTGCAGCTTTCAGTGAAACTAGTACCTTCTCTTTCCCCCCCCTTCTCCTTTTTCCCTTGAAATGGGACAAAGTTTCTTCCTACCAGAGACTCACTGCAATGTTTATTAAGTATATAATCATTAAATAATACTGTTTTTATAATGTAAAACACATATGAGGGAAAAATAAAGGGCCTATGTTTATTGTGATTTGAAAAAAAAATCAAACCTGGATTAAAGTTCAATGACAATACAAATGAGATATTAGGCCTCATTTTCACAGACGAGGAGGAAATAGCCTTGTAAACCAATGAAGTATCTTTTTAAACGTCTACAGGTTGTGTCAAGAAACACATTGGGAAGTTGTATGAGTGGATTCAGAAAAGAAAAGGACACTGTGTTTTAGATTAAAACTGAACTGTTGATACTGCTCATAATAAAGTCTCAGCTCAGGAGGAAGGCAGTAATTAAGCAGTCCCCCCCCTTCAACTGCATCCAATCCAGGTCAGCAGCAGAACAAAGAACAGCATAATGGTACGGTTTATACCTACCCTAAGGTTTTCTAAATTATGGGGACAACAGCTAGCTTGGTAAGCAGCGTGAGTTACCAAGAGACAGGCCCAGAAGCAGTTTTATAAGATTCTAACTGACAACCACGTAGAAGCTAATCAGTCTAGTATCCAGTTCCAAAGATGCAACTGACACATTCATTATTATTATTATAAAAAGGATCTCTTACACCATCTAAAAAAATCACTTTGTCTCTAGTGAAAAAATATCACAAACATTTAGGGTAGCTTAAATGAAAGATTTGAGATCATTCACATTCAAGTTTGCATATTCTGTCAGATAAAAATATTGAACTTTTTGCAAAGGAAAAAAACAGACCACATATGTTGTGATAAAGTAGTAATATACCTTTCTCATTCTGTTTGACATTTCCAGCTCATTCAGCTGCCTTTTTTTTTTTTAGTACTTTTAGTATCTCATTATCTGAATGTTTTATACAAACATTCAGAATATTGAATTTCATTTACATAGCTACTGTAAAAAAGTTTTACAATCAGCTTAACAAAACACAGATCATAATAAATTGTTAGTGGTGCAATTGCTATATAAGTATATAAAATGGTCCTTGTGTCTGCTATACATCTTCCTCAGTCTACCAGGGAGGAAAAATTCTCATCGGAAAACACACCCTTCTCCTCTAGACATTTTTTCTGCTTTTTTGTTTGCCAGGATGAAGCAGCAAACATCTAAAAAGAAACGGAGAAGCTTCATTTCATACCTTTAGTGGTGTGCACTTGAGAAAGACTAATTCTTTATTCTTATTTCATTAGCCAGGGGAAGAGGTAGAAAGGGTAGAAAGGGACAAATGGAGATTAGACACATGCTATGAGCAATGTAAATGAATCCTTTTTTCTCCCCTAGAATTTGCGCTGTGCTATGAAGCTCCTAAAATGGTAATGACACATCTAAAATGATATTTCCAGGGTAATCCTATGGCTGACTGTAAATTTGACAATGAACTTTGCAAATTGGAACCTAGTAAGGGACTGTGACTAAGTGGAAACTTATGGACCATTTTGCTTCATGAGGGAAAGCACTAAAGAGAATTCTAAATGTGTTCCCTAATGATTTAAATAATTAGGCCATACAAATCACACATGTACATGAACGCATCTATTTCCTTGTAGGAACACCTAACTTTAAAAGCTGCTAACTGCCAAGGGTACTTCCCGGCAGATGCACAATGTATCTCTCAATTCTTTGCTACAGTGAAACACAAAATTGTTAGCAAGACAGATACTAGAGGATGACTCTTCTCCAGAAGATGGTTTCAACTGCCCCAACGCTCCTTCCAGACAACTCTTAAAAGATCCTTTTACACTCTACCACTGTAAATTGTGAGACTCAAGCCTGAAAAATAATTCCTACAGGAGCTTTCCACCTACAGGTGGAAAGGAGGAGCATTCAGAGGGAACCAGTCTTCTGCAGAGAGCAGCCAGGGAATACAGAGCCTAAAAACTGAAGACCCACCCCTCACAGATTTGAGGATTGGGCTCGTTTTGCTCAACTTTCATCCATTCTCTCAAAAAAGTCCTCTTATATGGACACATTAACTAGCTTTGACTGTAATTATCACCTGGGTGCTAATAAAGTCCATTATTACTGAAGACATCCATATAAAATTGAAAATTTTAAAATACAGCACTTAAAACTACAAAACCTAGCACTGTGGAATCACACATAGTCACCAAAAAAAAAAAAAAGCAACAAAATTAACATTTATCACAAGGAATTACATAGGGAAGGCAGAAAGTAACAAAAAGGGACTAAAGAGGAAAATGACTTAGCCATAAAAATAATTTAGCATGAATTTAAGAGTTGTCAGTGTTTTCCCTTCTTAAAAGGTATTTGCATGTTACATTTAATTAATATCTGACTAGAAGAGTCTAAATAAAGCAGTTTCTACTGATGCAACCAAAAATAGTTTAAGCTTTTGCTCAAGTAGCTGAATTAAGTGCTCCATAAACTGAAAGTATATGTGTTACGCAGTAGATTAGAATAAAATATGTGATACAACAGAAATTAATCTCAATAAAACTGAGATTGTATTACATTGAACAAAAACATGTAGCAAACAACAATAGAAGCACAAAGTGAAGACTTCCGCTGTCACACCCATACAAGTACAGTCAAGGTCTATATTTGTACTGGCAGCAGAAAGTATCTGTCATTCCTGGAAATGCACTGGAGATGTACAAACAGGATGACAGGGAGTGGAACAACGTGACCATGCACATCAGCTACACTGGCAGAAGGAAGGCTGTCTGGATCAAGAAACCCTGCAGCAGCCCTACGCATCTGGAGAAGTCCTGGTCTCCAGGCTGGACCTTGGAACAGCAAGATAGTTCCATGCAAGTATGAAGTTGAATCAGCATCTTGACTATTAAAATATTGCTCCCCATTTTTCACTGTGCAAAACGATCTCCCTTTAAATTGTGCTGTTGATAAATCGAGTGACTTAAGTCTCTAAGGTGCATACCTGAAGACAAACAGTATTTACAAAAACAGGTACACAGCTGAAAATTTTACTGGATTGGATCATTTTGAGACTATTTTTTAGACTCCTCCCTGTATAAAACTTGAATTACTGGAGAAACAAGAAAAAAAATCACAAATTCAGGTTGAAAACACAACCACAACACACTAGATGCAACCTAACAGTAATGTAAATAGAACATTAATATCCTAAATAAGTGTTAAAATAAATGCAAAACAAACATAATATCCATCATTTAAAGCATAATCATAAAATAAGGTCACTAAGAAAACATACTTTGAAGAACTTACATTTCTAAATATACATCACGAAAATAACCACCTTCAGCAATCCAGCTATAATCATACACATGACGTATAGTAGATTTATTCTGTTTATACCCCTTGTTGAGCCAGACACTCTGAAATTTTACTATATAGATGAGAATCATTTATAGACAAAAATTAACCAACTCCATTATCCTAGACATTATAAACTTGTTCAAGTTTTCAATCCACTAGAAATTTAGCTTCCCTATTAGCTAAGTTATAACCATGAAATGATACAGATGCACACAAAAAAATCACTTTTTAATATATTCATTATACAGATTGAATATACATTTGTATGTTAGAATGTCAGATATGAACAAATTTTGTATCATTTAATTTTTTTCATTAAGAGTTTCAACACGTTAGCTGTAAATATGCTCACATTTTTCTCTGTGATGATTAATGGAGGCAGAACAGAAACTATGCTTTAGAATAAATACAGTAAGCATTGTTCTCTTCCCACTCCCCCGCATTTCTTGCCTCCATGATCCTGCTAAAAACTTACGCTTAACTTCAAATTATCTATGCAATTTCTACAGAAACTTAATACCAGTAAATACTGCAAAATAAATCAATATACTTTTTACTGCATACATATTTGAATCATAGAAATAATCTTACAACAAGGAAAGATGACAATACACTTATCCATGTCAGAACTAAATGACATCTAACAAAAAAAAAAACAAAAACACAACATTCAACAAGCAAATGATGATGCAGAACTGAAATTACACCATTTGCTACAATTCTATCAACTAGATGATTTTCATTAGTGAAAGATTATTATTTTATTTTTTTTAGAAAATTGAGTTATTGACTTTTGAGTTATTGACTTATTGGAATTTCAGATCACACAAAAGAAATCAAATGAGGTTAATTACAAAGATGAATGTTCAAACAATATGACCTGTGCCTGACTTTCTGATGCTGTTCTCTTGAGCAACCTAATTTGGTCCAGTTCTGTATGTCCCACTGAATTCTCAGTTAGAGACTGCACTGGGTTGGTTATATTGTATCTGCCAGGCTGATAAAAACCATAATATTCTATTCTCTTTTCCCCTGAGTTTTCCAGCACCTTTAGTTTCTGTCTAAACCAAATAATTTTATAGGTTAGAAACAGGATAACAGCACAAGCCAGAATGAAGAAGGCTAGCAAAATGTCAAAAGCCTGATTCAGCTTTTCAACCTGTTGTGTACAAAGTACAGATGTTTCTAATGATACAGGAGCAGCATCTGTTGGAAATAAACCTTTTCCTTCTACAGTTCTGTTAACAGGTATAATCCGTGCTGGTATTTTTACTGGTAATATTGATAATGTAGTTGCCTGTGATGGAATTTCAGCAGCATTTTCTTCATAAGGCAAAGGGTTAGCAGATGTAGCTGTAGTTCCTTCCCAGAAAGTAACATGTTTTGTATCCACGTTAACAAACTGTTCCAATGTGTTCTGTCTGTGTACCTTATGCCATGCCATCAGCAAAGTGGTAGGGCTGTGATGGATTTCTGTAGATCCTAGATTCCAGGCTGCTTCTGGGCTGGCAGTGGGGCTACTGCAGTTTGCAAACTGAGTCCACCTAATGTAACGTAAAGGTCTGCCACGCATACTGAGGGGATTTTGACAGTGAATTTTAACAGAAATAGGAGATGAAGCTAGCCAGTTCAGCAACCCAAGCATTTTGCAGCTACAGTTCCAAGGGTTGTAGTTCACCTGTAGGTGAGTTAAAGACACTAGGGGCTTGAGCACTTCAGGTTGCAACTCTGTAATATTATTAAATGCTAAACTGAGTATTTTAAGTGACTGTCCCATTTTTTCAAAGGTACCATCACCAATACTGGTTATTTTATTTCTGTCTAACTGCAGATATATTAAATTGTTCAATAAAGTAAAAGTGCTGGAATTTATATTTTCTAAATCATTATAACTTAAGATTAACTGACTAAGATTATTTAATCCAAAAAATCCGTTTACAGAAATCTCTTTTAGCTTTACACTTTTTAAAGACAAATACCTAAGCTTGTTAAGTCCTTTAAATGCAAAATGATGTATTGACCGAATAGGATTGTGAGACAAAGAAAGTCTTTCAAGGTTTTTGAGCCTTCCAATGGCATTTGATGGCACAAGTGTTAAATTGTTACCTTCAAGGATCAAATATACAAGGTTTTCAAGATGATAAAATGCTGAATCTGATATCCGTGAAATCTTATTATTGGCTAGATTAAGTGTTTGAAGACTTATCATTCCCATGAAAGTTCCACTTCCAAGGACACTGAGGCGGTTTCTTTGAAGAGTTAAATATCTAACAGAAAGGAGATCACTAAATAATCCTCTGGAAATAAAAGCTATTTGATTATTCTGAAGGTATAAATAACGAAGATTGGAAAGACCTTCAAAGATTCCTGGATCCAGGCGTTTAATACTATTGTTATCTAGATGCAGGTAGCACAGATTAGGGAGTTCCACAAAAGCTTTTGGGTGTACATATGAAATACTGGAATTATCCATGTAAAGTGCAGAAAGCTTCTGAAGACCTGTTAATTCATGTGGAATGACATGCGATACATTATTCCCACTGAGGTATACAAGAATTGCAGTTTTGGGGAAGTTCCGGGGGATGCTTGAAAGACCCAAGTTACGACAGGTAACTTGTCTCCCTGTGCAGAGCTGGCAAACAGCTGGACAGCCAAGTACCTCCTTCTGGAGGAGCAGCAAAAGAAAACCATTAAGGAGATACGGTAATGCTCCTGTGCAGGGTGGAAAACTTTGTAGTCCACACATATCCCTGTCTTTGTCCTTCTCACTCATCTCTGACTTCGCTAGTAGAGATAAAAAAAATATAAATATTATTCATTTGAAATTATGGTTTCTACTTGTACATTCCTTAAAAAAATACAGGCATTACTTTCAAGATGGTTATTTCATATATTCTCCTTGTGATGCCAAATAATCATTTTCAAAATAAATCTTTTAAGTATCATGATTTTGAATTACATAGAAACAAATTTCAAAGTAAATGAACAGTGAAACAAATATGCTGTCAAAATAGCTGCAAAATATGTAACCGGTTGCAGCATAAAAACTGCCAAAATGATGGATTCCAGTAGATTCAAGATACCGCTTATTATTTATTTTTAACGGTTAAAAATGACCAGGAACTTTTTCAATAGCAATCAAGTAAAAGTGCCAACTAAAACACTGTTCCTTTCATTTGCAGATCATTTTTAACTTGAATTTTGCTTTTATAAAGTTGTGTTACATTCAAAATAAGCAAAAACAATTCCTTACCCCAAATCTGAAGTTCATTATTTCCGTTATTTACTTGTTTTGCAGTTTGTTAGGCTGTTACCAGTTGACTGACTATACTCATCTGCGAAACGTTAGTAAAAGCACTATTGTCGTGTGCTACAACTCTCACGTTTTTCCCCTGGATTTGTAACTGCTCACTCAGGAAACTAAGAAAGAAGTGGTTAAATTGAGGTTGCCATGGATACAGGAAACTGTCAGACAGGAAGTCATTTTATCTGTGCTTCAGAAGCATTGTTGGAAAGGAAATCTCAACTGTTTGTTTCTAGAAAACCAAGAACTATCCTAGTTTGTAACTGTTGCCTGATTTGTTTTTTTTTTTTTTTTTTTTTTTTTTTTTATAAAACTAACGATTTTAAGCAGCCAAGCTCTAATAAGTTTTGTCGAAGATAGTTATAGCTATAAAGCATACCTATTTAAAACTGTACTATTGCCTTATCTGTAAATCCCAGCCAGAAAACAAAACATTCTATTAAACAAACAAACAACATTTATATTGTTCTATCTCTGCCTACAGAGCAAAATTGCTCCTCATGTAAGCAAAGTCCTGTGAAATGTAGAACAGTGAGGTCTGGAAGGCAAGGCCTGAACCCCTGGCATGGTACCTGGGGCATACCAGCCAGGCAAGCCCCTCCAGAAAGCTCAGGGAAGCCTAGGAAATCTTGGAGATGAGAACTTCACAACACAGTACTAAACAGCTGTGAATTACATTTACATTACATATATAATTTACATATTAATGTATTTTGCAATAATAATATTATTACACTGTATTTCAGTCTTGATCCAGGCACTTAGTTAAGTTTCATGTTAGGACACTTTTTTTTTTTAAGCAGACTTATCTGCACAGTTCTATGTATGTCTAAAAGCCACATCCTACGTACATGACTTTAGTTTCCTTCAGTGTCCCTTGTGCAAATAAAGACTTTGCAAATATGAACTATAAATAGTCCCCTCACTTAAGTACCGGACATGACATCCCCAGTTTATCTGTCACAGGGACTAAACACTTGTAAAATCCAGTGACTTATTCAAAGGGGAAGAGGATGAAATAAGAGATGTAAATTTAGAGATTAAATGTAGAAATAGATTAACTATAAAATCAGTTTACACTAACATGAGACACCTTGCTTAGCAAAATGAAGAGGAGAAAGCCCATCAATGGCCAAACACAAGTAAACACAAGAGACAAACACAAAGGCATTACAGGAGAATCAAGTAGCTTCAGCCACAAATATCTCACATCAGAAGCATGAGTTCACTTAAGAGGCAAAATGTCATCCAAAATATCTTTGTCTATAAAAATCCAAACTGAAACGCACGAAGCACGCGAGCCAAAGAAGCAGAATAAAGACACACACATCTCAGGGGCAGATCAAGAGTGCAGCCTCCTGCAGACCCTGGAGAGCTCAAGGGGCCCTTTACTCAGGACTACTATTTAAAGGACTGTGAGACTAACAGTACTATCATCCTGGCTATGTTATAGATAAGGCAGTTTTAGTATTTTCCACCAACCCTGCCACTCTGGTACCTTGCAGAATGTATGGCTCTGGTACTGACCAGAGCCTGCGCATCAGGGTTGGAGACACAATCAGGGAGTGCCTGTTCGTACTCACCCGTTACGCCTGCTGCCCACTGGCAATGGAGGAGTGACATAACATCAGTCCTGAACCACAGCTGAACCTCACCACATAGATTAAGCCAGCCACAATCCCTAGAGAGCTCAAATTAGCTTTTCTCTAGCTGCTATGTATTTATAAGAAAAAGTGACTGACTCATAGTCAAGCTCAGATTCCTTACCATGTTCTGAAACTCCAAATTGCAAGGAAGGATCCCATCGAGGCCTACCATGGCTCAGAAGCCTAAACAAGACTTATGTCAAGTGCAGGAACAGAGTGCACCTGCCACAAACCATTAACAACTTTTGCTGTCTTCTATATAATTAAAAGGTTTTATTTTAAGGTTGAAATAGATTTAGAAGAGTTTTAGGAAAGATTCCTGAAATCCTGTATTTACATAGGTCAAACACAAAAACAAGATACTAGCTGCAGTCAATTCCTTATGACTACAGTTTATTATTATTATTATTTTATATTATTATTATCATTATTATTTTTCAGTAGCTCAGTTGCATTTAGTGACATAATCCCTTGTCATTACTCGGTGCTCTTTGCAAACAACCCTTATAGGCCTAATGGGAAATGTTCCTGACCAGCCCATAATAAAAACTCAGATGTGGTGAAAAATTAATGGAGTTTTTGAACAAGAGAAGTTTAAACAGTAAGTCCAATCTGCATCCTCTAGTCAATGCTTTGATGTCAAATACTAATTATGTAGGTGAACACACCTTTCATTAAAATAAAAAAGGAACTGGGGAAGGAAGGGCAATGGCTTTGGTGTATCCTTCTTCTTTCTTTATTGAGATGATAAAATTAGTTATGTAACAAATTCTGATTTTATGAAGGAATATATAACTACCCTAAAGCAGAATATGACATTATTAGGCTCTTTCTTGTTATTTCCTAATATTACATATAGACATCTTCTTAAGAGGAAAATTAAATTTCTAACGAAGTAACTTTAAAAAATGACAAAGAAAAACTTCTGTAATAATCTAATGAAGATTCATAATTGCACACTATAAGTGCTTGAACTCACTGAATGCCAATTATAATTGGCAGAAATCACACTGGCTGACATACCAGATTTGATACACAATGAAAAAAATGCAGACATTCATTTACACAAAGATTAAATACAAGTAGAGCAACCTGAAGAACCTTTTCAGCTCTTAGTCTCTTCTTTGCAATAGTTTTTCCAGACAAATACATTTGAATCAAAGGGAAAGAGTGAACACTGGAAACTGGAAATACTACTCAAGTGCCATAAGCTAAAAAGAAAAGAGACTGGAGAGATTCAAATGCTTTATATTTCATACTTAGCAAAGTAAAGTCTCTGCTGTTTTGGAGCTGTACCACTCTACACTGTTATGTCTAGCAAAAATGAGCATATTTCACAAGCACCACAATTAGTTGACCATTTTTGGAAGGCCCTGACTTTAAGAATTTACAGCAGAAAGAAATTAAAAACAGACAAAATACACTTTACAGGTGAGCTTTTAAAAAACCCTCACAAACAGTAAGAAGTAGAACAAAGAAGCTCATTAGTAAATTACTACCTACTTATTCTAACTTTTAATTAATTGCCTTAGTATTATTTAAGTCTTTAATATTTGGACTTAACTTCCTACCATTGGTTCTGTTGCCATTTTTTTTCTAGTAACCTTCCCAAACTGATATGAATATGAACATCAGTTATATGAAATCAACACATCTTTCCCTACACAGCATCATGAGAATTTTGAAAAAGAAATTCAACTGTAGTACCAGACTACTGTTTAAATTGACAGAGTAATCACAACAATTGCTCTCCACTTGAAAACGCTCATCAGGAATCAATATTAATAAGGTTACAGATGTCACTATTCAGATTTGGATAATTTATGTACAGCATGTTTCTATTTTATATAGATAGCTCTTCATGGATATCACATTGCAAATTCTATGTTGAAGTTTGCATTGACTTTTATTTAAGATCTAAAAAAACTACAACCACTTTCACAGAAAACAGTGAAAGGACAAGTATCAGAGGTTAGCAAAAACCTGCATGGCCTTAGAAGCTTCATGAAACAAGAACAAATTCAAGAGCTATTTTACTCTGAGCTATAGAGAGTATAAGAGCTATATACTCTAAGACTTTTTTTTTTTTTCTCCAGTGAAAGCAGAGACTGGGACCTCTTAAAAATCCAACCTGGACTATGAATCCCAGATGTTCACAAGCCTCCTGCTCAGTATCAGCAAACCATAGAGTCTAAGCTGGCAGCATTACATAGGACAGCACAATCTGCAACAACCTCTGTTCAACAGACACCTGTGTAAAACGAAGTGTGCTCCCAGACAAAATGATGTGATAAAAAAACCAGCAATACTCAGTTCAGGCCAAAGAAATCTCGCAAATTCCATACACTAGTACATCAGAATCTGAGCACAGAAACATACCATTGCTGGACAAGTAACAAACACCAAAGCAGCATTATCTAACAGATATCAAGGAGTCTTGAAAGAAACTCTCCAAGACTGTGTGACTACCAAAACTAGATTACATACCAGATGTAGAATTTACTGACTTTCAGTAAAAACAATGTTTGTAACCCCACTTTAAAGAATGAAAGGCACAGCAATAATCACACTTCCCAGCAAAAGAGGAATGCTTAGCTTTCAACATGGTGTCAAATGTTAACCATGCTTACAGTTAGGCAGTACATAAAGCTAAATCGATCACTGGCACTGTATTTTGCCAAATTGATGCGTTTATTTCCTATTAGAAAGTAAAATACTCCTTTCATTTTTTTAGCATTTTTCAGTAATGGTTGTGTTCTATCAAGATAGACAGATAGTAACCAGAAGAATTTAAAAAACAACACTACTGTGCTAAGTATAAATTCCCAAAAAAAGGACATTTCAAAACATTCTGATACTGATACTATAAAAAAAATACAAAAGCACAGTTAGCAAACTGATTATTTCCAGAGCTATATAGGTATGAGAAGGGAAAGATGTACAATTTTAGCCACTTCGGTCTGGGGAAATGCAAAGACTGCTGATGTAGCACCTATGACAGTGGTGGGGGCCCACCTCATTTCCACAATGGCCTGAAGAAAACTTACGCTGCTGCTCCTGACCATTATCACTAGGCACTGTTGTAGGGACCAAGGGGACATTTAATCAAACTGAATTATATCTGCTCTACAAGAAACTAAACCTGACCAAGAATTTGACTAAACCTGACCAAGAACTTATGACATCTGTGAATGTACTCATCCTCAGGACTCCAGGCTGCTGTCGTCTTTCATGTCTCGTACCCTGCTCATGATTCTCCTCCTCCAAACTTTTGATTCTTTTTGTGTTAAAACAAAATAAACAAAAAGCACACCTCAATTTTCTAGCTGTTGTGTGTCTATGTGCATTTCCCCCCCAGGTGTTGTACATGGAAACAAGACTATTCTGCAAATGTATCCCTATCGCCTAAATCTTGTTGCTAGACCCTACTGTTATTCACATCAGCTTAAAGACAAAAATCCTTTAAAAAACGGTTTGTATTTAGTGAAAAAAAGGTTCAATTTTTATGAAGTACCAAGAGCTTTTAATAAAGGCAAAAAGTGAATGTGGAGATATGAGTGACAAGACAGTACAAGTATAAAATGTGGAAAACAATATGGATACATGTATCAGTCACTCAATGCACACTAACAATTTGAGTGCCCAGATTCAAGACAGCAAATGCAGATAATTAAGTAACATTTAGTTTACACAAAAAAAACAAATGAGTAAAACCAGGAAATTACTGCAAAGTGAAAAGGTGCTGCAACACTACTCAGGAAAGAAACAGTTATTGTTCTTTTTAGTATATATATATTTTTAATATGAACTTCTAAAGACTAACACAATGTGCAGCTGTGAGTAGAAGATAAACAGGATGCTGGATTGAAGGCCCATATGCATACATGATAAAATGCAGTGGTACTGTCGCTACTAAAGATCTGTCATTCCATATAATGATATTACTAACAAGACAGCTATAGTTGGGGTTATAAAGTCACAGTTCATAACTTGCTTAGGCCAACAAATTGGCCTGAGAAGCACTGAGACCTACAACTGCACTGTAATAATTTCCATCATATCCACTCTAAAATCCTTTATTAATGCTAGATGCAGTACAGATACCTATTTTCTCTATAGCGGAATCCTGAAACCTACTAGCAGTATCCATTATGGAAGTGAGCTGAGGGTAGAAACCTGCTCGGCAACAAGCAGAAACGTATACATGGCTTTCCTGAGCAAGTCTGCCTCACTGCCATCCTCAGGAGACAAAAATCCTGTTCAGCCTTAGCAGCTGAGAAATCTTGAACTGGCTTAGGAAATCCAAAGAAATGTCTAATCAGTAATCTGTTTGGAGAGGTAATTCAAAAGGCAAAATTACATAGCTTTTCTTGAAAAGGCTGTTTGTAAGAATTAAAGTACCCTGTTTAAATACAGTAGTTTAATATATTTTTGCTGAACTCTGCAAATTGGCTTGCAAAGGAACATTTCTTAAACAGGAGTTTCAGATGTGAGATGCAGCAAGCATATGTAATAAAATGTCTATGAAATGCCAAAAACAGTGACTCACACTGTTAGGCAGAAGGAACAAGTGCTTGACAGAATCGATTTCACATATTCAGTCTGAAGGTATGTTTGGCTTTGGCAGTCTAATAGTTGTACAGTAAAATTTTTGTAGCCTTTATAAATATATGCCCACTGAAGATAAGCTTTTTTTTTTTTTGGGGGGTGGGGGGGGGTGTTCTTAAGTAATTTGAATATCTGAAAACTAAAGCTGTCATTAGCAGAAGTTTTTTTGCATTGAGGACTGCCAAAAATAATTTGCTCTTGCAGCAGGAAATTTGGAACAGCTGAAGGTAGTTCAAAATAACAAGGTTATCTAAAGCAAGTTTTTTCCTTCCTCTCTTTACAAGAAACTTCACAGGAAGACAGGCATGTTCTTCAGCAACTTAAGTTTTAGCTAGCACATCTAAGAATGTTTCAAATACACTCGTAAGTTTCAACACTTATGTTTGCTGAAAAGAACAAAAGCTTTCTCAAAGCAGCTGCTTGGTTCACCTTTGACTAAATATCTGTCCTGACGATCTGGGGAAAAAAAATGAAAGCTTCTGTGCACACTAAAAGAAATGAAACCTTTAAGTTACATGTATAAGAGTTCCTTGATTTTTAGGTACTAGTTACATACTCTACAGATTTACAAACATTAACATAGCTTTAGGATTTGTAAGCAACATCTAAATTATCGTTGGAAAATACTTCAGACTTTTCAAGGAATCTACCAGACCAAACGTTAACTCATGTAATACTGCATTCCTGACTTTCAAAGCAAACAAGAATACTGAGGGTACATATGACCTGAGCTCTCATCTAAACATGTATTACAAATCAATCCCTGTAGTGACAATTTAAAAGAGTAACTCTATTCAGACTTTTCATTAAGAACTCTTTTTTGTGCTTTTATCCACCAATTGCCATGGTCAGAGAAAGGGCAAAACTACAAGCTGATAGCCGTACAGGGAAAAATCTGTTCCACAGTTTTTCCACAGTTACTCTTCCACTGAATGTCATTAAGTAGAAAAACAGGATGAATATTAAGAACTATCCTCAACCTGAAACAAGACTGAACAAACATTATTCCCTAGAAGGGACATAAAAAGATTAATGAGCTAACTCAAAGAACCACATATGAGAGCAGCAGCTAACCCGATACTAATATGAGAATGTACACTATAAATTATGGTAAAAAAAAAAAAAACGTAGTTTCCTCACTTTTGCTGAATGACATTTTCAAAGAAGCTAAAAAAAACTTACTGCTTTATCACTACGAATCCAATGAAAAGATTAATATAACGTAGCATCAAAATTTTATCTTTTCAAGCTTCTTTAGACCTAAATAAAGATGCAATAAAACTACTCATATTTGAATATTGCTCAAGTTGCGCCAGGGGAGTTTTAGGTTAGATGTTAGGAAGAACTTCTTTACCGAAAGGGTTGTTAGACACTGGAACAGGCTGCCCAGGGAGGTGGTGGAGTCACCATCCCTGGAGGTCTTTAAAAGACGTTTAGATGTAGAGCTTAGGGATATGGTTTAGTGGGGACTGTTAGTGTTAGGTTAGAGGTTGGACTCGATGATCTTGAGGTCTCTTCCAACCTAGAAATTCTGTGATTCTGTGAAAGGTCTTACAAACTATCTTAAGGGGCTCTGAAGAGCTATTTTAATGCATCTTGAATTCTCTCACCCGTTCAACGATGGTAGAAGTGAAAGTAATGCCAGAGCAGACAGCTTTCTTCTCTCTGGCTGAGTGATGTTATCCATGCGATCAACCCACATTTCAATCATGCTACCAAGAATTTGGTCCAACTGCAATGGGAAACAGTTACATAAATGTGACAGAAGTTGAAGCAAGTGGTGTATTTTTATTTTTCCATGTCTCTCCACATCCCCCCCCCCCTTTAAAATCATTAATTGATTGTGCTTCCAGGCCTTGAACCACGGTTACCATTGTATCCTTGAAATTACAAATGTATTTAGTTCACAGACAGAGAGCACAGATTCGGAACACTGAATTACTCAGTTTTCATACGAGAATCTTAGCACATGTAAGCCATGTGAATTTACTCTTAAAAAAAACTTTCACTGGTGGCAGAGACTTGTCTTTTTCTGTTTACACCTGAAGAAAATTATTAAATTCCTCTTCAAGACATAGCAAAACACTTGTAGCAAAGGAGCCTCAATAACCTCATAATTGAAAACTGAGCACATTGAACCAGCTCAATGTGCTGGTGAATCAATGGTGAACAATTAAAACCATTGTCCCTGGTACAAAACCATCAAGGTGCAACAAGGAAAGCAACTCTCACCCTGAAGCATCATGCAAACTAAGAGGGCTTATAAAGATCATAGCGGAATACAGCAAGAAGAAAATCTAGAGATTGTATAAAATTTCTTGAGATGTTTTAAGAAAATTGAGGGAACACACAAAACTTGGTGAAGGAGCTCAGGAGAAGGAACAAAGCAGGAGAAAGGGAACATGCTTGTACTGGGGAGGAAGAAGCGTCAGAAGAATGCGAGATTTCCACATGAAATCCTGTTGAAATACCAAGACAAACATCCTTACCTCCTGACCCAATTCACATGCCATCTGGTTCAAAAGTAATGAAAAAAAACTTGTATTTTGTAGTAGAACTCTACCCATGACACCCAGATAAGTAGACATCAACATTGGATATCTCTGAAACAAAAGTAAATCAGAACAAAGAATATTTGGGTCAATCATGTGTTAAAAATACTTAACATACAGCACAGAAATGCACGGAAAATATTTACATGCATCCTTTATGTATTTTATTAAATTATAATTTTAAATGTCCCTAGAACACAATATTGAGCAATTGTTACCAAAGAGTATACTGACAATTACAAAGTGAGAAACATGGCAATCCGTGGTCTGTTACTCTCAAACAGCCATGACAACAAGCAAAACAATTTCACCATATATATTTAAATGTCAGCAGCTTGAAAATAAGCAATATACTTCATTGTTAAAAAAAGTTACTCTTAATATTGATTATGGTTACAAAATAGTATTTCAAGTTTTAGTAACAATAAACACAACTAGTATTTCTGAAGTTGTTACTTACTGCTCTGAGATAACCTATATGCATTTGCCAAAATCTAGTCTGCAAGTGTCTCAAAATTAACTGGATACAGTAAACACCTTAGTTTATTATCTTATATTTTCATAGAATCATAGAATATCCTGAGTTGGAAGGGACCCTTAAGGATCATCAAGTCCAACTCTTGACACCGCTTTTCATTTTAAAAGAAGCTACAGATAAATCCAACATCTAATAATGTATCTTGCAGAACTGCCTACTTGAAAAACAGAACTCCAACATTTACCTGAAAATGTTAACACATTAATACCTGTTCAAAGTCTTTTTTTTTTTTTTTGTACTGCAAAAATAAAACTATTAAGCAATATTACTTAGTCTAATCTTGGACATGTGTTATTTAACTTAATCACAGTACAAGTCAAATATTGATAAAAAAGGAGATGTTTTGATCAAAGAGGTCACAAGCAGAGAGAACTTCACCAGTTCTGCCAGTAAAAGTACCTTTTCCTCCTACTATCAGTACTTGGTTAAAGCATATTTGATTTTACTCTTTTCTGTCCAACATAGAAATTTGTTGAAGGCACAGAGAAAACAAAGACATTTAAGTAAACAAAATATGAAACTTGCTTCCACCTTACATAAATCATTCTCACATTCTTCAGCTCTTCATATTAGTTATGTCAATTAGAAAAAAAAAAAAAGAGGTCAAGTCACTCTTCTCCCTACATTCCAGCTTGCTTTTCTCTGATGCATGTACACTGAAAAAAGAGTAGTATATCACAAAAAAGGCACACCAAAAAGCCCTAATACCTACAAAGCATTTAAGTGCTACCAGTGCAGTCATAGCAAATTTTCAGTGTTAAAGGTGAAGGAATAGAATAATAAAACTTGTGGTATTTTATTATAATGAACATTAGACGACAAAATAAGTGATGAATAGATTTAACGCTTGTGCTACCATTTTTACTACATACTTTGAAAATAGCTGTCGAAGAGCTATCAGATGGACTTAAAACTAGAGAAAAAGAGAGAAATACCAACACGAGAGAACTGGGCCAGACAACTGAAGGTACTTTCCTGTTCAAAAGGAAAAGTAGAGAGGACAAAAAGAAAAACTCTTACCTCCCCATCTATAATCCCCTTGAATACTGATGGCAGAAGGGGCTGAAACATTTGAGGACCCAAAACAGGATTTACTTTCAGGACATTTTCCACAACCTTAAGAACAAAATAAAATTAGACAATAAATACATTTAAAAACCATAATTGAAACTTTAAAACTACATATAGCTATCTATAAATAAAACTCTGGTACGATATTTACCATTAACAAAACCCAGGACTGTTGAAAGTATGTTCTAGTTAAGTGCTCTGCAAACCTGACCTGCTTTCATTCTCACACGGCAAACTGACATGAGAAGTCAAGCCACTTTAAAGGAATTTCTCTTTAATAAATAAAACGATTAAATACTTGCACTCAAGAGTTATGTCTTTTTATTTCATGAGATATGTAACAGTAAATTTAATGATTTGAGAAATTAAGCAAGAACTGTGTTTCAGCTCCTCCCTTTTAGTGGATGGCCAACAGCTTCGTTTAAATAGATGCTTGCTCTTGGAGATTAAGCTCAAGAGTCAAAACTAGCTATAATGCATGCAGGATTACTTCATAAAGTTTGCAACTGGATATGATCAAGTATTTAAATTAAGGCTTTTAAAGAAAAAAGCACAAAAGAGAAAAATGGTTTGAGAAATTATAATCTTGCATTTCCTATACAATACATCCTCCCCCCAAAGAGATTATGTTAATATTGCTTATTTACAGTGAATTTTGATGTCGGCAAGTTTGATTGAAGCCACAAAGTGGCAAGTTTGATAAATGAGGTCGCCAGCTTTCCCATAAAATCTTGTCATGGTTATTTAGTAGATATAGTTGGTCAATTTTGGATTATGGAGTAGAAAATGAGAAAGAGATGGATGCTAAATAAGATTGGAAAGATTCCTGCGAAAAAGATACATAAATGTACGCTACATGTCTAAAAGTATATTGTAACAGCTTGGTTACATACGAGACTTGGCCAGACTTCAGTTTTCAAATTTAAGAGACGAAATTGCTACAGGCAGCAATAAACTGTATGTAATCTTTCCTTGCTTCCACTAGAGTTGAAAAGCAGTTGTAACACTAACCCTGCAGGTCCTTAAAAAACACTGGTGTTGAGTTATGCATAGAAATAATGGTAGGACAAAACAGCAAGAGTAGCACATAATTGAAAAGACTCAGACATTACTTGCTAAGAAGGAAAATCTTTTTCCTGCAAAGAAAACAAGTACTATGTACTGCTAAGGTAAAACATGTATTATGGGTCTCTAATTTGCATACCAAATGATACTGGGGACGATTCAGATTGCTAATTCTGTTGTAAGTATTGGGAATTTGCTACGTGTAGTGCATACAACCTGTTTTTCAGTTGCATGTGGACCCAAGTAAAAGATCCAGCACAGAAGAATTGTTAATAAATGCATTTTACTAGATAAAGACTTTACCATTAATTAACAGCACTGAGACTGATTTCAACAAGCTGGTTATGAAACTCTGTGGATACTTTGAGGCTAGCAGCCAAAAAAGTGTGCTGCTGACATCTCAACAAAGAGGCTCCTTCCTGTAGATGGAAGTCTGTTGCACTCCTCTGAAATAATACAGTTGTTTAGTTCTTGTGTAAAATCTGGAACCAATTTGTTAACCTGACAACAAGGAGAACAAAGTCCACCTGAGGGAAAGAGTCATAAATGCCTTTCCTTTCTCATCTATACATGTAAGTGACTTAAGCCACTTTGCTCATGAGAGTGAGGTACACATTTACCAGCCTAGAGAAGTAGAAGTCCATCCAAGACTCAAACTGGTAATCTTATGAAAGGACCGAGGAGATGTATAGAGATTGTCATCATTAAAATACAGTGTAGTATGTTCACCAATGATATTGATGTGCAGACCACCAAGAGCAACAAAAGTATCTTCTAATTATTTGTAAACCTATTTTTGAGCTAACAGAACAGAAGTTTTAAACTGATAGAATGTTACCAAGAAGTCTCTCTTGGCAACATTCAAACTCCAAAGAAAAACTCATTATTTGCCAACACTACCAGACAAGTTTGTTTTTCTTAATAAAGTGATGTTCAAAAACTTGTTGAATAGGACTTTTATCACAAAGGGGAAGAGTTTTCTTTATTGCAGGCTTACTTTATAGACTAAAACTATATGAAGTAAATTTTTGTAAGCAATAACTTTATTGCTCCTGAATCTAAATGCAGCAGTAGTTAAAATATTAAGAATCTGAGTTTTTGAAGTCCCGTATCTCAGAAGAATTTTCAAAGTGACCACAAAAGTCAGAACTTCTTTGACAAGAGGATTAACATTTG